GAGAAGAGCTCTTTGGTGTGAATGCTCATTTCCTGCTGCTAACACTGCTGAAAACAAAGTGTCTAATTAAAGGAACCTGCAGCTTCCATTATCTCCAGCTGATGTACAGCACCTATGAAAATCAGTCCCTAGGTGCCTTAAGCTGGGCACCCAAAAACGGACATTCCCCAAATTAGAGGCTGTTGGCTTTTCTTGATTTCTGTGCCTTGTTGAGGCACAGGAGGGCCCTGATATTTTTTGTTGAATTGAGCCCATGTGGCGACATCTTCATCAGGCTTCCTGAACCTAACCCACAGCTAGGGGTATTTGCATATGTAATTGTCCATGTGGGTTTTTGCATATACAATTGTCCATTTTAAAAGCACAACATTTATGATTGTTCTCCCTCTGAATATTTGATCCTGAGTGAACAATGATTTCATACAATTGATCTCTATTTTGTGTGTCAGGAATTAACTCTAACTTTGGACTCTTTTGCTTTTAATAGGCTACTGGAAGCCGACTTGGCTTGTTCGCTAAGACTGCCTCTACCCTTCTGGCCGCCATCATTATTGCTTTTGTACATGACTGGCGATTAACTTTGCTTATCCTGGCCTGCATTCCTTTCCTTATTGCTGCAAATGCTATTCGACTGAGCTCTGTGGCTGGTCAGGCATCAAAAGATCAAAAAGCTTTGGAAGAGGCCAGCAGAGTAAGATCTCCAATATAAACCAAATGGGTATAATGTTATATCGTTCTAAGGACAATATTGTCAGTGATGGTTTTCTACAGAAATTACTCTGAAAATATATTAAATAAAACAGTGATAAAGAGACAGATTCTATTATAGTGGGATGCTAGCTCCACTCTAGTTTAGGTTGAGGATGACTTTTCTTATTGCTTTAAAATCCATACAGTTACTCGTATTGCCTTGAAATTCAATGGCAAAAAAATTATGTTAACACAAAGTTAAAGTTGCTTGGTGGCATGTTTTCCCTTTGGAGAACCTTGAGTTGAGCAAAACTCCAACTTCTGAACATCAGGAATTGCAGAGTTAAGGTTGCCCATGCAACCTTAACTCGGCCCTCCTTCTGTAATTCCCCAATGCTCCCTGTTAACACAAGTAGTATGTGCCCAGGGGATCTCGGTGGGCTTGTACTCATGCGCCTAGCTCAAGCCACTGCTCGTACCACCCTAGCTATGCACAGTGGGTACATCTATGCGAGCTGGGACTCCCACCTCCCAGCTAAAGTGTAGGACTACTGTTACATACAGGATACCATCTCAACCTACACTATCACTTAGCCATCCTGAAAGCATTAGAATCCTTTCAAATTCCACCTCACAGCTGGCAATATCCTTTGTAATTAAAGCCCCGTGCCCTGTTACTGACATAACCTACACAGTTCCACATAGAACTGAGACATACTTCATCCTGAAGGTACACATGCACCTCCTGCCTTTCCACACACACACATAGATCTCCTCATATCTCAGCCACTGCTCTGTCACACATCTCCAAGTCATCCACAGGTCTCGCTAACACACCTACCAAGCAGAGCTAACTATTTCCTCTGCTCTTCAGTACAGCTCCATCTGCCACTGAGCACACTCACTTTGCCTGGAGTGTGCATAGATAATAAATGCTTAGATTGCTCATATGCCAGCTTGCTACTGAAAATACCCTTTCTAATACAGCCCCTGTGCCCTTCTAATGATATAAGGTACACAATTCTGCACTGTACTGATGGACACAGGATCCTGAAGGTACATATCTATCTCCTCCCTTTTTTTCAGACATCGGAGGGTGGCAAACACAGAGTTCGTCCTGTCCTAAGCTCTGATGTCTCACACACCTCAGAGTGATCCACATGTCCTCACATCACCAACTTACCAAGCAGGCCCAACTACTGTCTCCACTTTCTAGTGTAGGTACATGTAGCATCCTGATTGCATCTGGAGTATATGCAAACAATTCCCATTGGCTACTGCCAGCTGTAGGGAACAGATGGAACATGGGGTGGGCAGCCTTTTTTTTTTTTGTCTTGTCCGGTAATATTGTTAGATGGAATCCTGTGGATGAGAGTGTCTGGGCTGTAAAAGGAGGTGAAGAGCTTGTACATGGCAGAGCAAAGGTATGTGTGTTAACTGGGCACTGTGGAAAGAGGGCAGAGGTAAGATTGCATGGACAACCTTTACTTGTGTATCTCCTGGTTTTCAGTAGTTTGAGTTTTGTTCCACACAGCATTCTGCAGGGGTATGACATACCCTCAAGCAACCTTAACTCTGCATTTAACGTTGTTCTTTGCCATGGAATTTCCAAGTTTTTTTTTTTTTAAACAGGAAAAGCTCTGGTGGCGTTAGGAGGTAGTGGCTATATAGGCAGTTGTACAT